GAGGTGTGCTCGAAGAATGGGGAACGAGCAACGACCAACGACCGCGAAGATGACCGCGTCGTCGACGAGAACGAGGAAGACGACAACGAGGGCCCGAGCTAAAAGGAACGAGGCATGCGAGGATCGACTGAAATCGGTCCGCTACCGAGAAGGGATACGCGACAACACGCAGACCAGGGCGGACCACCGGTGCTCGCTGGAGCTCCGCCCGCTTCCAGCATCCCTCGCACGCTCTCTTTTCCCTGTCGCGTTTCCCTTCTTTTCGTTCGCCCACGAAACCAACGCGCTTCTTCTCTCTTTCTCTCCACCTTCCTCTCTCCCCTCCTCGCTCCTCTTGCTTCTTTTCTCGCGGCTATTTCAATCTCGGTCTCGCGACCCGATCCACCGCCCCGGAACCGTCCACGTTCCATCGTCCACCAGGATGTCGCCGCGCATCCACGAGCCTCGCGCCCGCTGAAGGTACCGGAATGCAAATGCTCGAGCCGAGGTACCAGCCGAGGTACGGCGTATTTCTACTGGCAGGTCGTTAACGAAGCAACTAGCACGGGGGTTTGCGTATACAGCCGCGGGAAACGTACGAGGGGAGCAAGCAGCGTGGCGTACGGAGTTTAAAGCGATCGAGCCCTGACACCGGTTTAGCAGATGCTACCGCGTGATATCCGGCGTGCTCGACTTCGCAGCGAACATCGCGGCCCCTTACCGACTATGGGATGTACCGATCGTGGTTGCCGCACTTATAACGCTCGATGATTCCTGCTGCTACAAGTTTAAGGGCACGTGCACGTTTTTCAACTTAGTTTTCCAATTGGAAGGTTGGTGTGATCGACGAGACCGAGTAATTCGCTCCAAGTGATCCTAATTTTACCCTTTAACTTCACCCATTGCGCTACAAGCAGCTTTTGACGTGTAATTCTAACTAGTAGTCGATAATGATATTTCTCAAGATCGTTCAGGACTTAGAAATGTACTTTCATATCCTTGTAACCAGTAACGCAGCCTGATCTACTAGCCTCGCTCGGAAAACTCTAGGATAGCAGTTACATTTATTTGGCAAACGAAGCAAAACGCTGTCAATGTATCGGCGATCGTTCGGCGTATCGAGAAACGACGAAGTCGTGGGATATCAAAAATGTTAACGTAAACATGCAACAACGGACCGATCTGTCTGGGTATCGCGCGTTCTCTTCAACCGTGCCACAGCCCTTCGTCAATTACGATTCTTTCTACGAAGAAACGGATTTCCTTGCCTCGTCTTGTCTTGTCTCGCATCTCGCCCTCGATATTACCGTCTCTGTTCCACTTTTTCGAAACTTGCCTCGAACGAACCGCGTATCGCCTACTCCGATCGCCACAACAACATCATCCAAGGATGCAGATGATCGCGCGATAAATCTCCATCTCGTCTGGATTTATGTATTTGCGTCGTATCAAATCGGCAAGATTTGTTGGCAATTAGACCGGTCGTTAAAGCATCTCGTACGTTGAGAAAACAGCGGCTCGCGCGAGTTTAAATTCGTTTGCACGGCAAATCTAGATAACGAATTTTCCTTTGCGCGAGCTGCGCTCGTTATCTCCGCGACTTAATTTAGCTAGCGCGTGTGGATAACGCGATCCGGAGGAAACCGACGATCGACGACGAATAACGACGAATCGGGAAGAACCTGTTGACCGGTCGATCGAGCG